ATCCCCTAGAATTCTAGGTATATTGCAAACACCTCCAAGATGTTATTACCTTCAGAATGGTTAGTGGGATCCTGCGGTCCTGTAGCTGGGGTCTATGCCGTGTTCACACAGTAATGATGTGAGAAAGTACTGCTTGCTGACTGACTGCTTATTGCTTAGACGTGAGATCATTTGTGTACTCAGTAGAACGTGTGAGTGCATCATCTTGGAAACAGGTTTTATGACAAATGGTCAAAATAAACATTTGTATGAATGGCCAAAATGAAACATTGGCCTCAAGCGTGGCTTTTCATTTATGATCGGATTTACAATTGAACTTCACACTGAAGGGTTAAACGAAAACTTCAAACACCATAACCACTACAATGCTTTAATAATTATTGTGCCAGGAGTGCCCTGGTGCCCCCGCAGTGTAAGTATTTAAACTGTTTTCAAGTGAGATGACTTCTTACCTGGTGTTTACTGGGTGCTGGTCCCTGCCTCAATGAGAGCCAGTAGCATCCTGAGCTAAGCGCACTGTAATGATTATGGTGCTTAGTGTTCTTTTAAGAGGAACTTATGGCATACATCCCTTCTATTACTCTCAACGATGCTTCACCCTCAACCCTAAGTCTTCCCATAGGGGCTTAGGTTTGGATGGTCCAAGCAATTAGCCCTAACAGGACCAAGTGCCTCTCAAACCCACGAGATGCATGGTGAGTTGGTGATTTAATAAAACAAAATGCCTTGTGACTCTGACACTATTAAAACAACCCCCACCCCATGGAGCACTTAGGAAGCCCTGTAGCCTGGTCCTAAATTATAGACAACCCAACTCGTCGTTATAATTACTCTCAGCCCCCTAGGCCTAGTGGTGGAGGAAGGGTTAGGTGCCATTACCAACCCAATCAACCCCACTCAGAGTGGAAAAAGAGGGATTGCTATAATAAACCATTTTCTCAAAGATATGTTTCTTTGTATTGACTGATCGAAATGTAACTTAAAATGAGACTGAAAATACATAATTTTAAAAGAAATCTACTTATGTGCTCAAATCCCCCCACAATGCTGCCAATCAAAAAAAGCTGATCTGCGTAACGGCAAATGATATAATATGATAAAATATTTGGGTCTATATTCTATTTACCTCACCTCTTCATCTGATGTATTTTTAATATACATACATGTAAGTTACACCTTGCTATAGACACGTTTATATGGCTAACAATACGTATAATGAAGCAGTGTCTGCTGTAGCGTGGAAGGAGGTGCTTATAGAACGTGAAAACTGTGAAAATAAAAAAAATACAAACTCAAATGACACTTGGATTATTAAGGGTATAGAAATTCTAGGCAGATATTAAATGTCACCTTTCTAAACATGTTTCATAAACTGCATTCATAACCTTCTAACTGCCACCCATTAACACTTGTGTAATTTTCCAGTATATATCATTTGGCAATAGTCCGTAAGGTGTTGAATCTAAAGTAGAAGTAATGATGTGAACGAAGAGTATTTAACGGACACAGACTTCATCCGCTGCATTCAATCTCGTCTGCATTTTCATATCCTTCAAATGCTCGCTGCGTTTATGATGAAATCTTCCATCATTTTTCCTTTTTTAGAACATTGAGTCATTTTATGACTCAGTCTGTTTAGAATAATTGAGGTCTACCCGACTTCTGCACCCACAAATGGCATTACGGAGACGTGCAAGAGACATTGGATTGATGTAATCCGTAGGACTTTAGAACAGAGAATGTACAGCACTCCGTACATGGATACTTTAATGTATCCTTACAACTGGGACAATGCACATAATACGGAAAGCACAATAAAACAAGGAAAGTCAAAGCTGGAACGAGCCAAAGCTGTGTTAAAGTGTCATGGTTTTATGGTGTTTAGGACATGCATTGACAGTTGCAGGTGTTCCACATTCTATTATGTTGACTCTATGATACCTAGCTAACATCTATCCGTCATGCTATAAGTTATCGGTTCTCTGGTTTGGCTAAACCCCCTAAAAGCCAATTAATTTCTTTGCCATAATGTGGTATACCAAAAGCCTTAGCCAGGATGGGATGTCCTGTTTATTTAAGGTTGGCAGCAATACTGGCATTAAAGGAACAGTACATTCCATTCCGAAGAACTAGACTACTACTACTCTATTACTATATGATTGGCCCTTGAGGAGTTAAACAAGTCTTAACAACCTACTGTAGAGATCATGCCCAACATTCTAAATCATGGGAACAGGTAGACGAGGCTCCCTTAAAATATGATTTAATGTATTGTGGCAGAGCTGACCTGCATGCGTTACAAGTATGTTAATGCTAAAACAATGATCCATCTATCTTCATAACCTGGTTCGAAAAAACCCTCTAGACAGACATTTGTATAACCTAAAATAAGTTTGTATTTACTGGCGCTCTGGGGTTTCATTACATCTTTCTTACTTTGTTAGCTTTTAGAACATAAAGAGAGGAAAAACTGCTTTAAATACTGATAGTTCTATAGGAGATAATCTTCGCATTAAGCCAGTCAGTGATGGTTATAGGAAATGGAAGTTAAAGCAGATCTCTTGTCACGTATGTTTTCCATTTTTATTAAAATTTGTCATTATTTACATGGATTTTGTGCGGTTGTCATGCAATGCATGATTTTCTAGCGCATGTAAATAAAAATAATAAATGAGCCTGGATGCAGAGAAAGCCTTTGAGTAGTTTGACTGTTTCTATTCAGTACTTTCCTTAAATGAACACTCCAACCACCATAAAGACTATAGCCCACTGTTATCTAGTATGGTTTGACAATTTACTTGGGTGCCACCTGGTGCTGCATCCTCTGCTTTCAATCTTCTCCAGCATATGAAGCCTAGTGTGTCTGTAGCGTAAAGTACATCCAGTGCAAGGACCGTGCTCTCAGCACTCTCACTTGGAGTGCACCCGAGCATCACCCTGCTTTGCTCTATAGAGCAATCTGGATACCCCTGCAGGAGCTGAACTGTAGGTGCCTGAAGGGAACCAAGGTAGTTGTCAAACTGTGCTAAATCGCCTTTTCATCTTACCATGGATGGTGCTAGGGTATTACTGACACTATATAAGCACTACAGTGGTTGTGGTGCTTGAAGTGATCCTTTAATTTATATTTTTCCAGATACATTACTGAAGTTTGTATACCATGTGACTGTATCCATACCTGCCAACTCTGGCGTCCACAGAATCAGGAAGCAAGTGGGAGGCAGGTGGAGGAGTGACACGATTGCCCCCTTTACTGGTGGGTCATTTACGTCTGACTGCCTGCCTAACTTTGGAGGTCAGCCCACTGAGGGCAGGCCCTGCAAGGAGCATTGAAACAGTGCTCCTTGCAGTGATGCACTTGATCTATTGATGGGACACCAAAGAACTAAGTTAGGACAGGACCTGAAAATTGGGACGGTTGGGAGGCATGTTTATCTAATGTGGGCCGTATTGTAAACATTAGAGATATCAGTGAAACATTGAAATGCTCTTACTTGAACGAAAAGGCTATTGCAGAACCGAGTCAACCTTTTTGAAATCCATCAGAAGCTCTGAGAAGGAGATGACAAAACCCTAAAAACTCCAAGTACAAAGACGCATTTTTGTAACTCTGCGTAATGGTCGTGAGGTTTCAAACAATTGAGGATTTTCACTGGAGCAATGATCCTTATCCAAATACGTGACCACAAATATAGCTGGCATGTCACTGCAGATATCATTCACTACCCTTGGCAAAGTGACAAGAACATTACATATCCTGAGAGGCAAAACTATGTATTTAAATATCTTTATCCATTACCCAAAGTCATTTTTTTATTTTATTTCATTTATTTTCTGTAGTTTGGCAGTAGCCTTTTCTTTGGTCTAGCTTTGGAAATGACTTTGCAGCTTCCACGTTCTTCAATTTTTAATTAGTTTTGCTTGATCCTACGGATATATATATTTGGTAAACCTACAAGATCCAGCACACTCGCTTATTCACTAAACCGCAATTTCAAGTTTTACAAAACGTAATTATGTTATTTAAAAACACCTTACCTCGGTCATAATGTGTAAAACAAAAAATAAAATATAAAATATTGCAACGTTCCTCCATTATCTTTACTTCAAACAGGGTAATTTAGTAACGTTGAGAATTGCTTGGAATTCTTAGTGAATTTTTTAATTTAAGGATCCACACAGGAACATTCACATATGCTGCCAGATCAGTTATTTAAATCTTAAAAGAACACTTCAGACACTTAAAGTACTTTATATATATATATATATTGCTTTTTTATTTTAGCCATTCTCTCCTAAAATTTGCAACCCCCTTGTCGATTCTCTACAATTTCAGATTTAGTGACTGAACCCCAACAGTGAGGTGGCATTAGGCTGCATGGCCTTTTTATTCACAACATGGACATCATTGGGTATGTGTATCTATCAAGCAATGATATGTTAAAGGAACACCACTCAATTTTATTAGTTTTTTGTTTAACTGTATAGCAGGGGGTATATGGAAAAAAAAAAAAAACCTTGTAAAAGCTGCAGATCTCTTATCTGCTGCATCTGTTGCCCTCCCCTCTTTTCCTGATACAAACTATCAGTCCTATGCCGGAATATACCAATCAGAGGCTTCTCGGTGAGACGCCGTTGTCCTAGAGCCACGAGCCTAATTGTGCATGCAGTCTCTGCTTTCCATGCTACTCAATGAGTTGTAGTAAAACACATTGTGAAAGGGGGGAGGCTCTCTGTGGAGCCAACGGAAGCAGACAAAATATTTTTTTTCTGTTTTTCAGTTTAAAGCAAGCTGAAGTTTACATGAAAGTTACGGTGTATGTACTATTAACCCCTTAAGGACACATGACATGTGTGACATGTCATGATTCCCTTTTATTCCAGAAGTTTGGTCCTTAAGGGGTTAAATAGGCCATGAATAATCCGGAGCTCTAAAGGACATATAATGATGTAATAAATAATTAATATGTAGATATTTTTTTTTTTTGTCATTGTAATAATGTAGGTTCAGTTGGAACTGCAGGCAGAATTTGCAACCAGACATCCCGAGGTATGGACAGTTGCGAGGTGATGTGTTGTGGGAGAGGATTCGATACAGCTAGAATCACGACTATGGCAAAGTGCGAGTGCAAATTCCACTGGTGCTGTGCCGTGCATTGCAAAGACTGTCTGGAAACGGTGGACGTACACACATGTAAAGGATTCAGAGACGGGGCATGGATGGACAAAACATGACGAGGTCATTACCAAAACAATGACAAATACTGGACCAGCTCTACGGCAGAGAGAGTATAAAAGGGGTAAAACTAACAGAAGAGAATTTTGTGTGAAAATGATATTTAAACAATCTATTGCAAAATGAAAAACAACTAATTAAATTATATTAAATTATATTGTTAGTGAAAGCTTATTTACAGTTACAGTGTAAAAACATAATCTGGTTTATTCACTAAACCAGGGGTTGTAGCACATTGACTAAAGAATTTCAAATATTAGACCAAAGTAACAACTGAACTGGAAAAAATCGGGGATTTGGAGAATGTTTGCAGTTGGGCTATTTTAGTCTAAAATTTGCAGTTCCTTTGTCAATTCTCCACATTTGCCATTTTCATGAATAATCTCTGCAGTGTGTGTTGGAGGATATTAAAGGGACACCCCAGGGACCATGACAACTCTATTGGAATGACGTGGTTATGGTGTTAAATTGTTAATGAATGATTTAACCCCAGCAGAGCTGACACTGAGTAGCTCCCCATTCACAAAACACAAAAATATGACCATTTCTCACTCAGTTTTGTGAATGGGAAGCTACTAATAAGCTAAGAGTTCCAGCTTATGCACTCAGCGGCTCTCAGTCTGAGGTTTCCAGTTTCAAACCTTGGATTGGAAAGCTGAGTAACGCTGGATTTAATGGTTTAACCTCTTGAGCCCAGTGATCTCCTCACAACATAACTTAATTCTGATGAAATTGTATAGAGTATGCCCCTGCAGTCTCACTACTCAATTCTCTGCCATTTAGGCGTTAAACCACTTTGTGTGTGCAGCAATAATCACACCTCCCTGCATGTGACTTGCACAGCCTTCCTCAACACTTCCTGTAAAAAGAGAACTAATGTCAAGACTTCCTGTATTGCACATTCTGTTTAATTTAGGTTATAACCAGAGCAAGAGAAAATAAATTCTACTACTACCTGCAGGAGCCTCCTGTATGTGATTAAAGGGCAACTACAGTACTAAGAAAACAGTTGTGCCCTGCTTTATCACTTACCTGATTCCAGCGCTGATGTCCCTTGATGCTGATTCAGGCTCTTCCTACGCAGACGTCAGCGGCGTAATGTGCATGCGCGGCAAGCGCCACAATCGCATTAAGACTTGCCCCAAAGGAAAGCATTGTATTATGCTTTCCTATGGGATTTTGGAAAGCGTGAGGACATCCAGCGTCAGGCCTAACCACCACCACTAGAGGTGGAGTTAACCCTGCAATGTAATTACTGCAGTTTATCAAAAACTGCAATAATTACAATTGCAGGGTTAAGGGGCCTGGGACACTGCACCCAGACAACTTCAATGAGCTGAAGTGGTCTGGGTGCCTCTAGTGTCCCGTTAAAGTTTACATTTACAGGGCAGTAGATAAATCCTTCTAAAGCAAGTTAATATCTGATTAAAAGTAAAACCATTTTTTTCAGGCAGCAGTGTTATTTAAAGCCAGGGGAGGTATGTCTAGGGCTGCATAATAATGTGATTTAACTTCTACATAGCAGACAATTTAGCAGTCAGACTGCAGGGCCATGTTCTATACACTATAACTGCTTCATGAAGCTAAAGTTGTTTTGATGCCATAAGTGTCCCTTTAAAGTACATGTTGTTTACGTTCACCAACCAAAGTTACAGCTTCAGCTATTTTTTATTTCTTCATCTTTCAGCAAGAGCGTTATTTGTGTTGGAAAGTTAAAATAAAAAATATTTATAAACTATACTATATTGTTAATACAAATATGTATAGCTACTATAACAGAGTTCATGGTATGTAAAAAAAAAAAAACACAAATTCCTGAAAACGTTCCTGCAGCTTTGAAAGAAAAATCATAAAAATAAACTAAAATGGGCATTTAAAGTGTTTTCAAAGTTCTAGCACGTGAAAACCAATTCCTAATGCTGTGCAGGTTGTTAGAGGTCAGATTTGTTGTCTCTTTGTTACTGAAACCAGGAAGTGCTTGAGATATTGTAGCCCAATCCCTGACCACCAGTTTGTTTGCTATGGGAGGATTTGTGCTTATCATTCAGTCTCTTGCAGGATTCTCATTCGTTGAAGAATTAATTAAACTTGTTTCACATTTATTTTTCCAGTGAATTAGATGCCGCACTGCACAAACGTATAACAACCCAAGGGTCTCAAGGAGCGACTTTAGTGCAGGGGATTTTGGGATAGGGTAGTTAATGAAGTTTATCAAAGATTCTCACTCTTTGTGTTCGGAAAGATATTTACGACTTTATTACTAAACCTTGAATTTTGGAGGACTGGTTGAATTGCAAATTTTTGGCCAAAACAGCTAACCTAAAACAATAAAGTGTTTTTTTTTTTTTTATATATTTCACTATTTGGTCCTAAAATGTTCTTCTCTCTTGTTAAGTCTCTGCAATCTCAGGTTTAGTAAGTAAAACCCAAGAAAAAGTGATAATCTGGACATAGCTGGGTATATGTTTATAATGTTAACATACACACAACATTATCCAGCTGTCTCATGTTTTCCTTTAACCAACTTAACTATTTTCCACTTTCGTTTAAAGGGATAACTTGTGTTTCTAAATGAATATATTATCTAATACACTGCAAAGTTCAGCCTGTATTTTCTTTCATTTCATACTGAGCAACATTGTTTTGACTTCTGTATTATTCTGGTCATCACATTTACTATCTGTATTCTGACCGCTTAATTGTGTAATATGCAAAATCTGAACTATGTGGTTCAGTGAAATCATCTAATACGTGTATTTCCATATGCTCCAATGGCTATTCAAGCTGAATTAATTACCAGGGCTGTTCTTTCTTTATTTCCGCAACTTAGTGCAAAATGATCTGTATTGTTAGAAGGAAGGTGAGCCCCCTCAAAAAAATTAAATAAAAAAAAAATGATGTACACTGATCAGCCACAACATTAAAACCACCTGCCTACTATTGTGTAGCTGTCAGCTCTGATGAGTCAAGGTCCATGACTCCAGACCTTTGAATGTGTCCTGTGGTATCTGGTAGAATACCCTTTAAGTCCTACAAATTGCAAGGTGGGACTTCCATGGGTCATCAGCGAAGATGAAGGGGTGTACGTGGTCTGCAACAATCTCTAGGTAGGTGGTACGTGTTAAATTAACATCAACATGAATGCCAGAAACCAATGTTTCCCAGGAGAACATTGTCACGAGCATAACACTTCCTCCACCAGCCTGCCTTCTTCGCATAGTGCAGGGATAGGCAACTTTTGGCACTCCAGATGTGTGGACTACATCCCCCCTAATGCTCTTACGCCTGTAATGCTGGTGAAGCATCAAGGGAGATGTAGTCCAAAATATCTGGAGTGCCAAAGGTTGCCTATGTCTGCCATAGTGCATCCTGCTGCCATCTCTTTCCCAGGCAAATGACGCATACGCACCAGACCCTCAATGTGATCTCAAAGAAAACGTGATTCATCAGACCAGACAACCTTCTTCCATTGCTCCATGTTCCATTGAAGGGGCTTTCGGCAGTGGAAAGGAGTTATCATGGGCACCTGCCCAGTCTGCAGCCATGCAGAAAAAGCTGTGTTCCTACACCTTTTTTTTTTTTTTTTTTTTTAAACATGGTATTTACATAATTACGTTTCTGAAAAAAGACATGCGTCCATTAAGTTCAGCCTTTCTCACTGTTGTTTTTGATGTTCATCCAAAAGAAAGCAAAAAAACCTAGTTTGAAGTGCTTCATGTTTTTCAGTAAACCAGGGGAAAAAAAGCATTCTTGGCAGTCATATCTCCTGGATTAAGAAGCTATTACCCCACTAATTAACAATTATAATCCTTATGTTTTTGCAAGTATTTATCCAATTGCTGTTTAGACGTGTGCATAGACTCTAATAAAACCACCTTACTGTTCTTTAAAAACAAAACAAAACCCTTTCTTTGCCATAGCCTAAATCTCCTTTATTCCAGTCTAAATGCGTGACCTTTTCATCATGGACAGCATTAATTTTCTCAGCAATTTTAGCTACAGTAGCTCTCCTGTGTGATCGGACCAGACGGCCTAGCCTTCGCTCCCCATGTGCATCAATGAGCCTTTTGCAACCATTGCCCTTATACCTGTTCAGCAGTTGTCCATCCTTGCACCACTTTTGGTAGGTACTAACCACTGCATACTGGTAGACTTGTAGTTTTGGAGATGCGCTCTCCCATCACTAATTGGCCCTTGTCAAAATCACTCAGATCTTTTCGCTTGCCCATTTTTCCAGCTTCAAACACGTGAAATTTAAGAATGGACTGTTCATTTGCTGCCTCATATATCCCACTCCTTAACATTGTCATTGTAATGGCGTCTTCATTGCTATTTACGTCACCTGTCCGTGCTTTTAATGTTGTGGCTGATCAGTGTATTTACTGGTGGAAAAATTAACGAATGTCATAAAGTGGAGTGTCTCTATATAATATATACAGTCATGGGAAAAAGAAAGTACGCCCTCTATGAATTCTATGGTTTTACATATCAGGACATAATAACCATCATCGGTTCCATAGCAGGTATTCAAATTAGGTAAATACAACATCAGATGAACAACACATGACATATTACACTGTCTTAATTTAATAAAAATAAAGCCAAAATGGAGAAGCCATGTATGAAAAAACAATTTTTGGTATACAGAGGAATTCATGGTCGACTCAAGGACTTTAAGGTTGCTAGGTCCTTTGGCTGCAAAACATGCCGAAATCCTCACCACTCCACCACCATGCTTGACAATTTTTTTTTATGAGGTGTTTGTGCTAATATGCTGTGTTTGGTTTAGCCAAATGTGGCGCTGTGCATTATGGCCAAACATCCCCACTGTGGTTTATTTAGATGTAACTTTGCAAACCTAAGCTGTGCTGCCATGTTCTATTTAGAGAGAAGAGGCCTTGTCCTGGAAAGGCTCCCAAACCATACTTCTTCAGTCTTTTTCTAATTGCAAAGTCATGAACTTGTACAGTCTGAGAGGTAACTTTGTTTTTTTGCAATTTCTCTGAGCATTATATGGTCTGACCCAGGGACATCCACTCTTGGTGAAATTGGCAATTGTCTTTAAGGTTTTCCACTTTTAAAAAAAGTGTTCCCACTGTAGAATGATTGACTTTAAATTGTTTAGAAATGGCCTTGTATCCATTCCCAGTTTGAAGAACAGCAACAATTGCTGATCTGAGATCATTGCTGATGTATTTCCTCCTTGTGTTAACACGCACCTGAATGTTCCAGTTCAGCAAAATGAAGCTTTTATAGAGGTGGTAACACTAGCAGATGATCACTTAATCGTGAGCATTTGATAAGCAACACCTGTCAGCATCTTAGCTTCTTAATTCCTACGGAAGCATTAAGGGTGTACTTAGTTTTTCACATATGGCTTCTCCATTTTGTTAAAGCAGCGCAGTCCCCCTACCTTTCCCCCAATCGATTCCTCTTCTCTCCCTCTGTCCGGATCTGTTCTTCATTTCTTCCTGTCTGCTCTAGTTTTCTTTAAAACATTAGACAAAGTAGGGACTATTTGTCTTATGGATGTTTCCTACGCCTGACCATCTCTGACAAGCAAAGGACCAAAGTGTGCTTCGTTTCCTGTGGTCAGAGTAATTTCCCCATAATTCTCACCTTTCCGCCATGTTCCTGTGAAGCCGCCTTTCACTTTTTCTGAACGTCCTGTCATTTAGACAAAACGCCGGCAAAACTACCGAATTGCGCCCTAACAGAATGAGAACGGTTTCACCAGTCTTTCAGCCAAATTTACTAATACTAAGTAAAGATTACTTAATATTAGTACATTCTGCCCCTACTCGCTATATCGCGAGTAGGGGCATGTCTAGTAAACTGTTTAAAAAAAACAAAAACCTAGTATCCCCCTCCTGTGCCGCGCGAGTGGGGGCTATTAAACTAATAGTTGAATACTAAATATTGAAATGTGTCGGATCCATTTTAGGACTATAGATTTTAAAATAAGCTATGCTAAACAAATACATTTCCATCTGTTTAAATCGTTTCGGATCAGATTACTTACTTGTGACAATCCTGTCATTTTAGTCCTGGTGGGTTTAATGAAACTCTCCAAACAATAGTAGACCAAAAACTCTGGTGTTGACGTAGCAGATTATCTCACATAGCTGTATTATATAACTTGTTCCTCCCCATGGGTCTAAACACAGAAATCCAGAATCTAGAGGTATAAGCTCCTTTCCCTTCATTCAACCATGGAATGCAGATATCACAACATAAAGGGTTGTTCTACAATAATAAGGAAGGAACGTGGCTGACAGTTAAATGCGTAAGGGAAGTTTTAAAACTTACCATGGTCAATTTCTGAAAGTATGTTATATTAACATTCCACATGATTATTTTTATTTTACCTTTTTTTTGTTGTTGTAGTTTTGGTAATGTGCACATGCTAATCACAAAAGCTTATAGGCCAACAGAGAATTTCACATCAAAAAATTATATAAAGAGATGTGTGATAAATATGTGTGATGTGCAAGAGGGAACTGGGTAATCTGTACAGATAGATCCACCAGCTTCCTCGCCACCAGCTCTGAAGCCCCATACAAGAGTCACAGCTCCGGTACCTTCCACTGTAGCCCCTCCAGGATTGCGGTGGTCGGCAGGTACCCGCTCTGGCAGAAGAAATATATTTTGTTCAAGCTCCTCCCCCATCTGTCACCCAAAGCAACCTCCCTTTAGTCAGATTCTGGGTGAGGCTGAAACATTTAAGCCCAAAAATTAGTAGGGGTGGCTTCATACCTTTTTCTTATAATTGTTTTATATTCTCCTATAACTTACCTTTTGCATCACAAAACATTTTTCTTTATTTAGTTTAAAATTCAGACTTTCTAAAAAGCAGAATATATTGCTGCATGTGTAATTCATTCAAGTAAGACATGTGTAAGAGTAAGCACTAAATCAGCAATGATGGTCAGAGATGCATTTAAAGGGCTTGCAAAGGCTGCAGACAAGTAATCTGCAACTATTTCATGCGTTTTTCAGATAAACCCCCAAAGAAAAAATCCATTAGTAAATGCATGCATATTTTCATTTGGGGTATATCTACTAAACATGTTTTTTCCTGTTAGGGCAGTGGAGTGTCCCTTTAACTAAGGGTAAACATGGAAGATCATTAATGGGATCATGCTCCTGTGTCACATATATTTATTGGAGGAAAATACAACGGTTGGAGACAGCAAACTGCTTAGATATCATTTATTGGTTTATTCCCTAAACGTGTACGTTTGTTTAGCAAGATGCTGGAAGTTTAGTGCCGAATCATTTTTAATGTTTGGTTAACTTTGGCCTAATATATACACCTCCAGGTTTAGTAAATCAGCCCTTTCAGGCAGTTTATGCTTAATATCAGAGAAATAATTGTTTTGGTTTCATGAAAATGTGGGAAAAGAATTAAAAAAAATTTTTTTATCTTCTACAAGTTTTGTGAACCTGCATCAAATATTTGAAAATGTCAGAAACAGAGCATTCGGTTTTCCCACGTAAAGGGACACGATAGGCACCCAGACCACTTCAGTTCTTTGCAGTGGTCTGGGTACAGTGTCCATGCCAGTTTAACCCTACAATTGTAATTATTGCAGTTATTGACAAACTACAATAATTACCTTGCTGGGTTAACTCCACCTTTAGTGGCTGTCTACCAGACAGCCAATAGAAGTGCTTCCAGGTAGTACTGATGCTGTGCGTCCTTACAGTTTGCATGAGGACATCCAGCATCAGTTAAAGGACCACTATAGTGCCAGGAAAACATACTCGTTTTCCTTGCACTATAGTGCCATGAGGGTGCCTCCACCCTCAGGGACTCCCTCCCGCCCGGCTCTGGGGAGAGGAAAGGGGTAAAACTTACCTTTTTTCCAGCGCCGGGCAGGGAGCTCTCCTCTCCGATCCTCCCAATGAGACAGCCGCTAGAGGATTTGGAGGCTGGATTAACCCATTTCTCTGAAACTGCTATGTTTATAAAAAAAATGGGTTAATCCTAGATGGACTTGGCACCCAGACCACTTCATTAAGCTGAAGTGATCTGGGTGCCTATAGTGGTCCTTTAAAAGCCTGTAGGGAAGCACTGATTCAATGCTCTCTTACACGATTGTCCAAATGCACTTGCGCTTTAGGTCCCCAACATCAGAGGAGGAGCGGAGGTGGAGCCTGACCCAGCACCGAGG